AAATATACACCTTTAGATAAAACAAATTAGTCTGCTTTTTACTTAAGCTGTCTGTACACTAGTATTTCATTTTGAACCTTTTATTCCTTTGCTGGATCGTTCAATTTTCTAATGGTTTGAAGGGGTCAAATCGACGTTTGATGGTAGCGATCAGAAAAATTTTTAAGTAGCAGGATGGAAATTTTTTTTGTCTTTAACAAAGTATATGGGGTTTTCTCTCGTTTTGAGAAATTCCATTTAATTTTTGCAATGTGAAAAGCAAACAAAATTTTGAGTGCTTTCAAATGACATTTGTCAAGTCTCTGTTAAATGCACTGACAAGAAATTTCCTGTAACGTTCATAGGAAAATATACCAGTGTATGGCCAGCTTTCAGAGCATAATGATTGTATATTCTAATGTTAAGATAGCAATGGTTGCATATTTTTGAATTTGCTGCAGTAGTGATTTTTGTTTTTCCTTATTCAATCAAAGCTGAACTAAAGTCAACTACTTGCTTCCCTTCCATCTTGGCTCAATTGTCTTTTGGGACTGCTATCTATGGCCAACTTGATTGGCCATCCCCTGCATCGTCTGACTTCCTTTTTGGGTTCAGCATCTATGGCCAACTTGGTTGGCCATCCCAGGATCACATAACTCCCACATGCCAGTTAAATTATCCTAGCACTAGGGCTTATGAATTTTACAGCAAAGCACTACCTAGAATCGTCAGTGCTTTATAAATACCTGGAATAAAATGCAAGAAGGTTGTGCATGTACACCAAGCTGGAGGCAGGTAATAAGTCTCCATTGCAGAAGAGATCTACAGTGTCTGCAATAACCTTGCTGCCAGCAATCTTTATTTATAAGCTAAACTACCGCTGTAATAAACAAAATGAAACCTCTACTTAAAGTCTCATCCATTCTTTTTCTCATTTATTCTTCTAGATCTCTTGCCTCCGGGAGTATGTAACCTCCTGAATTCATCCACCATTTATGCCAACAATGAGGTCTGTCTTGGCGACATAGAAATCTATGGCTTTGACTATGATTACACTCTGGCACTCTACTCCAATGCTCTGCACTCCATGATCTTTGACACTGCCCGGAACATCCTTGTGGAGCAGTACAAAGTAAGTCTCATTGATCCATGGTACATCCAATGGCCAGAATTGGGGGAAATCCGATACCAGTGACCCTGCTGATGACCACTCTGAAAATTTTCTAAAGACTGGAGAGGATTTTTACTACTCTATATGTGAAAGCACCTTGAAACATAACTGTAGATAAAAATTGGTTTGTTTATTCATCTTGGCTACAGAGCTTTAGTCAGGCACTGACCCATTTATATATTATATTATATATATATATATATAATGTGTGTGTGTATGTAGCTTAACATTGAGGTTTATGTATTCTGTAGGATTTAATATTTGCATCTTCATAAAACCTTCAATACAGATATGCATGTTTCTTTTTAAGCATATTTTAAAGCCAAAATTGTTTTAGATGGAATATGAAGGGGTCTGAACCTCCTCCTATAGGTTTGTGTTGCCCTGGAGACCATTGTCCAAAAAGGAAAGGGGGGGTGGATAATTTGCCCCCTCATTGTTGAGGGTGTAATTTTTTTTTTTTTTTTTTTTTTTGACAAATTATGCCACCATAATTTGGCCATCAATCGGGTCAAGGAATCTCCTAGCAACCTCTGGAGGAACTCTTGGGTATTACAGAACCCTGGTTGAGAGTGGCTGTTGTATGTTCTACACAATCTGGTCAAGCACTAGTAGGATTTTTGAAGGAATGCTTGTATGAAAATTCTTGGTGCATTTGATGAATGTTTATTGAAGTTTTTTTAAAAATTTTAGTTTAACTTTTTGAATTTGGAATAAATAGGCTATCCTGAAGGAAACGCACATTCAGTGTTAGTACTTTTGTAACTTATATCTTAGAAAAAAATTTTATGAGCTAAGGTCTACTATTGTGTGACCAGCTTTAGACTAATCACTCCGATCATTCATATTTATTTTTGGTTGGCCTCATTATTTCTTATGAGGTAGAACTGCACGGTAAGGAAGCTTTTAGGACCACGTCAGGTAGAGCTAGTAGGATTTATTTCTACTACAGCAAGCTTATCTTTTCAATTTCTAGTAGCTTTAGAGACCTGGGATTAAGCTGTAAGGTTCTTAATCTGTATTTCCATCACTTGATGCCTGTTTGTATTGTAGATAGTCTCTTTGAAATCCAAATGTAATCTTTTGTTCTTTGCTTCCTAGTACCCAGCAGGAGTCTTGAAGTATGACTATCTGCCCAACTTTGCTGTAAGAGGCCTGCACTACGATATTAATAAGGTAATTGCAGCCCATTAGGTTTTCATATGTAAAAGAGATTTGCTTATCTTGAATGGTGATCCTGGATTTGGGGGATTCCCTAAAACAATGTTTATACTTCCTCACATATGTCTTCAGTGCCTTCTAATTCAGGCTCTTGATGATCATCACTCTTGCTGAGATAAGATGATGGTAATGCTGATTTTAGCAGATGGTGTTTTATCATGCTACCCATGAAAATTAAAAAATGTAATCATGACATATATAGTATGGCTGTGAAGGTGTAACCCAATACTAAACAAAAAAATTCTAACAGATTTTTCCATCCATGCTTTACAGCACAAATGGATGAATCTGCAGCTGTGGCTATTTTATTCTGATAGCCAGCATCAATGAGAGTGGCAGCTGCCAACAACTTTCTGTTCTGCTCCTTCAAATTTAATAAGAATTTAAGAATGTTGAGCAGAAGGGTAGCAATAGAGCCATCCACAGGACAAATGTTGGCAGGTTCATCAGGAGGATTAAAATTTTAAGTGTATGGCCAGCTTAAGTGTAATTTCTGTAGACTGGCTAAACAGAAGGTGGCAGATCCTACATTTTAATGACTTTAGACTGCCAGAGCCTCTTGCAATTCTATAATGCAAAAAATTCAATAAAAACAATGGGCATTCCTTCTGTAAGCATGTTACTGCATTTCGGAAGGGGTTCTAACCTCATACTAGGTCATGATTTTCCATTGAAGAGTAGGGTGGAGTGAGGCCTTGGAACAGGGAGGACTTCATATGGAGGCTCCTGTTTGGCAGCAACTTTAGTTCCCTAACACATTTTTACTTTAACAGTAAGCCAAAAAAGTTGTGTATAACCACCTTAAGGGACCCAATCTGCCAGAGTTGAGTCAATCTTTGAGGTTTTAGGTGCTGAAACACGTGTATTATGCAGAGACACTGAAATCAATTCTCATGCCAGTTTGGTTGGAAGACCGTTAATCTCAACCCCCCCCAGCATGTTTAACTTTTGTCACGAATCTCAAGCATATCTGTGGCAAAACATTAAACCTTTATGCAGATTGTGTCCATAGGAACTAAAATAAGATCCCCAGCACTGCAATTGTATGCATTAACCACAGTGCTGCCTATTTTGACATAGCCTGCTTCACCCCCCCCCACCCCCCCCCCCCTTATGTTCTCATCTAACTGCTTATATTCCTCTAGTTTTTTGTGCTTTATAGATTCTTTTCTCAGGAAATGCCTTATTATGCCTCATTAGAGGCATGAACTTCCTCTCTTCCAGAATTTTAATAAATTGATAAATTTGAGCTGGTCTGGATTAATTGTAAACATGCTGACCTCTGGTTTTTCTTTTGACGTAGGGTATCCTGATGAAGATAGATGCGTATCATTACATTGAATTGGGCACTGCATACAGGTATGTGAAAGAACAGACCATTTTGACATAACCTTTCATAAGATGTCAGCACTGTAGGCTCTTAATCTTTGTAACTGCTTGAATCCACATGTCTCAGTTGAAGTAAACCCATAACACATTATAAAGTAAAGATAACTACTGACCAGAGACCCCCAAAATGCCTCTTACTGGACAGCAACATCCTTACCTAGTGTGCTATTGTCACCCCAAAATCCTGTGTGGTTTCAGATGGTTATAGCCACATTAGGCATGCCTCAATCTGGTCACAGTGCTTGTCTTTGGCAAAGGGTTTCTCAGGCACTGCAATGTGGACAGTGTGGGGAAAAAACTTGACCTATTATCCAAACATTGCTTTTTTTGCAAGGTTATAATGACGCACTGTAATTTCTGCCTTTCCAGGTTTCTTTTAAGGTACCAATAGGCAAAATACAATCGTTCCCTGATTGTAACAACTGGCGAACAGTCATATCTATGGGCTACCCTGACCAGTGCAGATAACCCTTTATCTTATATTGAGGAAGATTGGATTGGCTGGGGTGACTTTTTCCATTCATTGCAAACTATTTCCCCTAGATAGATCAGCCTGTCAGAAATGTGCACCCATATTAATGCTGATGAGCTTGGGCCAGGGTCTAAAATCATGTTCTGGCAAACCCTTAAGGAAGGTTAGTGCTGCCTCATTTAGCTGCAGTCGAGGCATTCCTACACTGCACAGCTGCATGTACACAAAGGGACAGGGATGCCATCCACCCTATTGAGCAAATATGGCTGTTATGGGGCCATGCTTTTTTGGCCATATTTGGTCAATGGTGTCACGAATAGCCCCGTTTATGTACATGTGGCAGGGAATGCCTTGGCCACAGCTGGTTTGGCTCCGTCAGCTTCCTTTTCGGGTTTGGACAAATGTAGGTTTGAAACAAACCTATGCTCATTACATAACACTTGCCAACCATTAAGACTGTGACCAGACCAGGATAAGCTGTCATTTCAGTTGTTTACTGTATTTATAGTACTACTTGCCTTGTTGAATTATGACCATGGTATATCTTGCTGTGCTTTAGGCACACTGATGTTCTGAGATGGGTTTTGCCCATGTTCCCTTCACTAAAAACACACAACTGCTGCAGGTTTTTTTTTTTTTTGTGTATTTGGGTAATTTGTCTTCCTGTAGTGTGGTGTGTTCACCTACTCTTTCCTATTGTAACCTTATTGTGCTGTGCCTCCCTCCCCAATCACTAGGGGCCTGAAGCCGGTCCCAAATGAGGAGGTGATGGAGCTCTACCAGGGAACACACCACATCCCACTTCACCAGGTCAGCGGGTTCTACGGCAAGGTAAGCCTCTTCTGTGCTGTGCTTTTCTGAGATGGGCATAATCAGTTTGACAGGGGAGTGGTGTGATCCCCTATCCGCCAGATCCTTTGACCAAGCTGCTCATTATTCCATTCCTTTCTTAGAAAAAACATGGCCGCTGAACCATAGTTTGCAAATTCTGTTCCTCCCTTAAAATCTAGAGGCTACCACAATTTGTTGAAAGTACTAAAACTTAAATTGTTGGGTTTTTTTTTTTTTTTTTTAAGAGAACCTGTCACTTTTCTCATTCAGGGCCAAACGACAGATTTTTCTTGTAGGAAACCCCCTACCATGCCCACTAATGCCTTCACCACACTCCTCTGATTGGAGCCTTCAGTAAATACCTGGTCTATCGGTTGTGGAAGATAATGTCTTTCTCCGAGGCTGCAGTTCTTGGGCCTGAGTGACAAATCCCAAACTGGGCCACCTGACCAGGAGGAGGAACCTAACCCTGTATAAGTTTCAACATAGGGCTAGGACCTGGCACTGCAAGAGAGCCAGGGATGCTTGGAGAAGGCGAGTATCAGTGGGGGTGAAGGGTTTTTAACAAGAGCACCTGTCACTGTCCCAAGTCTTAAAAAAAATCTCTGGAATTCAGTTTTTAAAAACTATTAAATACAGTTATGTATTAAACAAAGTCTATTTAACCTAAAACTAGTATAAAACACCCGATCTATCTTATCTGCTTCCTGCACATCAGCAATGAGCCAGTGAGGACTCTGTTGCTTTGCAAGGTGTTAGTATGACACAGGGGCATGCTCACAGGAGGTGAGAGCAGAGAGATTACTTTTCTGTGCTGGTGCTTCAATATTTCCCATTCATAGACAGAAGGAAGTCTTGGACTCAATGTAGATGTGGTGTAGACCATAGGGAGGTCCAGGAACTGTCTGGCTGGGGGTTTCTGGACTGAGACTGCCTAGAGTTCTTCTGCATAATGGCACTTTTTAAGAAGTTGAAAGAAGGTAATTTTTTTAAAAATCAGATCGCAGCCTGTATTTTCTTGACTCCCCTGCTGACTAGGCCTTCTGTCACCCATTTATGTATTTAGGACTTCACATCCCAAAAAATCTTAGTTAATTTTTGAAACTCAAGTCATCGGCTAGCCAGTTTCCATGATGCAGTTAGTTGAATTCCCTTACTATCTCTTCATTGGCTGTCTCAGCTGATGTACAATTGAGATGGCTACACACTACTAGGTAATGCATTTTGCCTACAGTTTACAAGCACCGCACTCCTGACATCCCAATCTCCAAGGATAGTATAGAACCCCCTCAGCCTTAGTCATGACAAATCCCTGTGGAGGAGCAGAGGCTGAGGTCCTCTCTAAATTTGAGGTTGAGCGGTCAGGAGTGCAGCGCTTCTACACGGTTTACAAATGCTACTTTCTGATTAGCATCAGATGCCAGCACCCATACCAGTGTGGATCACTGGAGCAGGGACTTGAAAGCCTCAGCCCAGTTCTCCAAGCATTTCAATACAGGTTGCAATTACTTTTTTTTTTGTCTATTGCACGAGAGATCTTGTCTGTTTTTCAAGACTTAAGTCCATCAAAAGCAAGAAGTCTGCAGCTGTGTGAAGTGGGCCTTTTTCAAATGAGCAGACCAGTTGTGAATCTGATCTAGATGTATGTTGGAAGGGAAAAACTGAATAATGGTTTTGCATAAAAAGGACAGTAATTTTTGAGAGTTTACAATAGAAAATGTAACAGACAAGTCTTAGCAATGTTCCCTAATTTACTTGCCTGAAAACACATTAATTGCTAAGCCCATACTTCATATGATGTCATTGACCGGATTTAATGAATATTTGATTTCTCTAGTTCCTTATCTGTATACCAAGTAGAACTCCAGCCAAATGTTTGACTTTCTGGATAGTGGGGAAGGGTTTGACGCTCTCCATTTTTATTGCTCTTTGCCCCATTGGGATTCAAAGGCGCTGGGATTCTGCTGCTTTTTTATGAATACAGAATATTAAAGGGGAAAATTCACTCAAAGAGCTCACTGGTTGTGGTAGGGCGGCTTCACATGCAACCAAGGCTACCCTCCAATGGGTCCTCGAATGTCTAAAGCAGAGTGCCAGATCTCATAAAGGAGTCCAAAATTGCTTTAACAATTCACAAAGCTGCCAATGCATTTACGGGGGTCACTATTCATACAAAAATATAAAAAAATTGGGGGGGGGGGGGGGGGGAAATATCCACTTAGTACCTAAAACCCCATTCTGGAGGGCGGTGGTCAGACTGGAAGATTTGGGGAAAAGTCTCAAAGGTACTTGGACAGCAAACAAATTACTTTGAGGTTAGACTGTTGGGTTGTTTAAGACCATGTTTGAAGAGCAATCTTTCCCCCCTCTCACTTCCTCTCTAAAACAGTGGTCACCAGGACAGGAATGAAGGGGATATCTCAGTTGGGGGACACCCAGCAATACAATTCTGATAGAAACCCTTCAAAACTGTAATCTGTCTGGAGTTCCACTTTAAACTTCTGTTTTTTGAAGGATGTTTTAGTGAGAAGCAGTTTACTGCCTATGAATTCTGATTGTGCCAATCTTTCCCATTTAGGTCCTGCTTTCAAGCAGTACATGGACATTTTCTCTCTGCCTGAGATGACTCTTCTGGCTCTGGCCAATGACTTCTTCATTTCCAATGACATTGACTATGATCCGGTCCATCTGTACAAAGATGTCACTGTAAGTATCTGAAACAAGCTTATCTCTATACTTGTATAAATATATGATCTAGAAAATGTTTAACAAAGGATGTGTGTAACAAATGTGTTTGAAATATCCATAACATGTCATTCAGACAGGTGTTGACACCCATCTTGCATGCAGGCTGCGTTTTTTGTTATTGCTCCCTCATCCATCTTGAGTTGCACAAGATGGATGTGTGAGTCTGTACAGCCGACGCATCTCCACTTCCTTGCATAGAGCAGTGTGCAGGCAGCCTACAATGCTGTGAGCCCCAGTGCCCATCTGACTCAACCAGCCTGTAATTGGCCTTAAATGGTTGCTTATATTTTTAGTGGAATTGTCCTTTTTGTATGACAATACTAGGGGCTTAGCCACTGTGCTGCCCACATATGTGTTACATGGATGGCAGGAGGTTACGTGGTTAGCACTTCCACCTGGCAGCTCTAGGGTTCTTGGTTTGAATCCCAACCATAGCACAACAGCATGGAGTTTGGAAGGAAACCCACACAGGGAGAACATGCACACTCAAAACATGCTGGAAGGTTAATTTGGCTCCTGTCTAAACTAGCCCTGGTATATGTATGAATGTGAGTTGGGGACCTTAAACTGTAAGCTCCTTGAGGACAGGAACTGATGTGAATGTACAATATATGTAAAGCACTGGTAAATGGTAAAGAGGGTGAGCTTTAATGCCTACACGTTGCACATACGCATCTGTGAGTGAGGTTTTCTGTATTAAGATCGTGCTCGCAGCACAGTGACAAACCGCTCCTGAGTGGGGCCGGCTACCGATATTGTGACAGCCAACCACCGTAGTATGCAATCAGGCTGGCTATTCCCCCCCCCCCCCCCCCCGGCCTAAAAACCTAGGTAAAGATGTCTGGGTGGGTAGGGGTAAAAGAGAGAGAAACCAAAACTACTAGAGGTTTGGTGTGGGCTGATCTGGGGGGGGGGGAGGAATATTCCTTGATCCATATAATCTAAGTGGAATGCTCCCCTCTGTACTATTGTATTCTGACAGTGGGGACACCTCTGCTGTCAGTGTGTGTTCCAAAAAAAAGTTTTCCAGGTGTCAACTGTTGGATTGTCCATAGAAGGATTGAAGTTCGACTGGTCTGCTCTGAACCAGCTGGATTTCAGGCTGGTCAGCTTTAAGCTGGCCATACACGTGTAGATTTTCAGACAATGTTTATACGAAAATTCTTTGAACATTTGGTGAATGAATATTCATTTTAAACTCAAAATGAATTTGAAATTACAACCACATACTCAATAAAAATTTGTTTGATCAAAACATTTTTCTTACTGCTCCTTCAAATTTTCCCATCGCTGCTGTAAAACAAACCTCTATTTGACCTCCACTAACTATTAAAAAAATTTGTTTCAAAAGAGCATTAGTTTGATTTTCTAACAAATCTATAAGTGTATGGCCAGCTTAGGTCTAGCATTTTTACAGGTCTGCTGTGCGGGCAAAAGCTTTGCTGGTCTCCTTTACTGTCGAATGTAATAACTCGTAAAAGTCTACACGTGGCTTCTACTAGCAGACACACATGACCATGGACATTACCAGTGTGGTTCCTGACCGCAGGGCCACAGATAAAGGATTGCTCTGCATGAGTAGCTGTTACAGCCGCACACATGGTGGTTTTGTTTATTGTTGAGCTGACCACATACAGTATTGCTAGGATTATGTACAAACTGATTTATCCTGAGAACAGCTGGAAGTTGTAGCTAAGTTTTGTTTGTTTAGAAAGTGTTTTTTCCCCATTTTTCAGCAGGGGTCTCCAAAGGGCAAGTTTACTGTCCTTCATACTTAAGGGGGGCCAGACTGGTCAGTGGGAGCAAACTAGCTGACATTTTTTAAACAAAGGGAAAGTTTACTGTCCTTCAGACTTGGGTGGGGCCAGACTGGTCAGTGAGAGTAAAGTGGCCTGGCGTATGTGGGAGCAAACCATGCACCATCGTTGGTGTCAGTGGGAGGAATTGTGCCCCTTTTGTTGGTGTCAGTGGATGGAATAGTGCCCTAAGGGCTGGATAAAAGAGAGCAAAGGGCTGAATCTGGCCCTAGGGCCACAGTTTGAAGACCTCTGCATTTCTTTGGTGTGAGCCCGGCCCATAATGTGATCGATTTTGTTCAATCTCATGAACAAAGCGTCTCCATGCAGCTGACTATGCAGAATGATAATTTTTTCCTTCCTGGCCAATGGACTTGGTTTGAGCATACCCAATCTATATCAATTGGAAGGGATGTTGTAGATATTCAAATGTTTAATTTTGGTTGAATTGGCTTTTGAACATATATAAAACAATCAAATTTGCAAACAAAACAGCTTATGGTGGCCACACGTGCTTCAATTATATTTTGGTATGTAAACTTATATTCAGAACACTTAACTTTTTTTTTTTTTTTTTTTTTTTTAAGTATTGTCCTATTCTTTAAAAACACCCACACCGTCCCTTTTTTCCCCAGAGCACCCTGTGTTGCTCTTAAGGTTTCCTGTGGGTTTTTCTTTGCAGCCCCAACTGACCGAAGAATTGTTCAGGACACAATCTTTCTTGCTCTACCTGACCTTGGCTTGGTATCAATAGATCTCTGAATTAAACAGTACTGACTGGCATATTCAAGGCTTTGGATATCTTTTTATATCCTTTTCCATCTTTATAAAGTTCCATTATGCATGTCTTTTGACCTGTTCTGCTCCCCATGGCTCAGTGTCTAGCCTGCTCAGGGCATCCACATGAGAGCTAACAAGCTCACTGACTATTTATACACAGACAAATGCTATTTAAAAAGCAACAGATGTGGGAAATTACTGTTATGTCTGTACCAAGGCCAAACATCGCAAGGTATGGAAATGTTTGATCCGGGCATTTGGGTGAGTTTTCTATCATGATTTTAAAAAGGAGCCAAAACTATGTGATAAATGGCTTCACTTAATTCTTTTTAAGACCGTGTTTGGGGTTTTTTTTTTTTGTTTGTTTTTTGGCATGAGCAGTCCTTTTCAATATCCATGCCAAAACTTCCCCATTCTGCTGGGTATGCTAACTTTTTAGCACACCTAAAATTTGATTTGAAATCCACTTGTGTGACACATATTGATCAGTTGGGCTGTCACCCACATGATAGACATGTTCTCTATAGACAAACTGCTTTATTTATGAAGAAACTTGTTGCTGCTCTATTTAAAAAAACAAAAGCAGATAAAACTTGGACAGGCACACCAACTTGATTAGTTTTATAGAAGACAAACGTTTCTTCTGTACTAGTTTATTGTACCGTATCATACGAGTTTGTGTGCAAGGAACGAGGAGGGGGCCTGTTCTCCCCCTGAAACCAGTGCAGACTGGATATAGGAGGGGGGCCATGGCGTCCTTGTTTTGGTTTGCAGTGGGTCCTCCCTCTTATATTGTATGTGTTTTTTTTTTTTTTTTTTTTTTTTTTTTTTTTTGACTCTCCCTCAAGCTTGACGAGAACATTTTGTGCCAGAAATTGAGGCGTGCGACGTCACCCTCCCACAGATGTTTATTATCTGGCCAGCACGGGTAGCAGCGCTCTCAGTCATAGTGAAGGGGGGGCTGCTGGGGAGGTCTGGGTGTGGAGGCCAGCAGATGGCTGAGTGATAGGAGGAAAACTCTGAGGAAAGCAGTTTGCTGGGTCTGTCCTCAAGAGAAACGTCACCAACAGTTGTGGTTTAGTTCCCTCCCAGACATGTGTTCTGTATGTCAGAAACTGAATATCAATTGTTTGCATAAAATGTCCTAATAACAGTCACTGTTCAGAGGTTCCATCTTTTTATCCCGAATGTTTGCAGCCTTTGTGAGCTCTGCATAATGGGGGTTCTGTGTCTTCATTAGAGGAAACTTTACTCCATTCTGTCCTTGGCATCCCTGACAGGGCCTGAACTTCCAGCATTGTGTGAGGGGAGAACATTCCGGGTTGATTCAGTTATGGTGATACTTTGCATGTTTATCCCCCAAGGAACATTTGGCCTCATTTTACACTGTTCCTGTGTTTTTTTTTAGCTTTTCTAAAGTAATTTGGGAACTCAAAAGCACTTTTTTTGGGCCTCATGAAGATTCCTTGTACACGAGTCATCAGTTCAGTTGTGGTTTTAGTTACAAATAAACTGACCAGTGCTGATTCAGCATTCTTCGGTTTGCACATCAGCCTACAATTCTGTTTTATCAGTTTTTTGTTTTGCTGTATGTGCACTAGTGCATTTCTGAATGCATGTTTTTTTTATGTTTCAATTGTACCGTTTGCACTGTTTGGTGTTTTGTGTTTTGTTTTTTGTGTGGGTTTTTTTTTTTTTTTTTTTTTTTCTCCTACTTTCAGAGAAAATTAGAATTCTGTGCATCCAGGATCTGATTAGGAACTCTGACAATGACTATATGGGTTTATTATAAGACATGCTGGTAGGTTAACTGGCTCCAGTATGTGTATGAATGAGTTGGGGACCTTGGACTATACGCCCCTTGAGGGTTAGGGACTGATGTGAATATACAGTTAGAATTGTCCATGTCCCAATATTTATGGACCTAACATTTTTTGGCTCTATACATCACCACAATGAATTTGCAGTTAAAGCACATCTTGTTTCATTTCAGACGGTCAGCTTTAATTTGAGGGTATTTACACCCAAATCAGGTGAACGGTGTAGGAATTACAACAGTTTGCATATGTGCCTCCCACTTAAGGGACCAAAAGTAATGGGACAATTGGCTTCTCAGCTGTTCCATGGCCAGGTGTGTTATTCCCTCATTATCCCAATTACAATGAGCAGATAAAAGGTCCAGAGTTCATTTGAACTGTGCTATTTGGAATCTGCATTTGGATCTCATCTTTAGAGTTGACAGCAACAAAGAGCTGTCACTATCAGTGAAGCAAGCCATCATTGGGTGGAAAAAACAAAACAAATCCATCAGAGAGCAAAAACATTAGGCATGGCCAAAACAACTGTTTGGAACATTCTTAACCTCCTTGGCGGTATGATTCC